TATAGGCACAAAACCCGATCAATGTCCTGTTGTATCAATTATTTTAGTATATTTTGGATTTGTCATTGGGTCAAATTGCCAAACATTGTCTCGCTTTCTGATTCCTTCCCCTGTAGCAAATTCTCCCTCACTTTCCCTTCGTGATTACTGCATATACTTTAGGGATTTCTTTCTATTCTGCTCATACATATGGATTTCTTCCTATAGAGAGTCCCAACTGTGTATTGTCAGGGTTAGGGACCTCTCCCATGGTAACTGTTGCTTTATTGTGTTTAGGGACCCTGGGCTTAAGTTAGTTTTGAAATAACTCTTTGGCATGTTGTTAAGTCTGTGCACTCAATAGGACCTAGAGTATTTGTCAGTCCATTTTACAGTTATCCAATAAGGTGATGGCATCCTCTTAGGAGGATGCTTTTCATAATGTTCTGTGCCTTATAGGGGTGCCATGTATGTTTTTCTTTATAGCCCTTGATGATCAGGATTTTTTGGGTGACAGAATCATAGACGGCAATAAAACCAGACATTTTAGGCAAAGGGTCCTAGTGAGCCCTCTGTTTTTAGGAACATGGACTCCAGCTTGCCACATGGTGAATACTCTTCCTCACACAAGTGGCTACCTGATGGGCTTGTATATTGTTCACGGTATCAGTTTTTCTCCTGTGTTCTCTAGAATGGGGCCAATGCCTGGTTGATAGGCAAACCCAATGGTCACAGTTTAAGCAGAATTGAGACATACAATTCAGTCTAAGACATACTGATAGGTCTGGGCTGAGACACATGACCCAGGACCACTTGAAGGAGCCCCCACCCCCCAGTCCCATAATTCTGTATCTAAACCCCAATTATCAAAACTTCTGATTTAGGTTAACTGTAAACAGAGGCTCTGTAGGACCCAGCAGATGCAGCACTGCCACAGCATAACTCAAAGCACAAGCTTGACAGCAGCAGCAGCACGGCTCCACGTGCATGCTCCCCAGCAGGCATCAGAGCCAGTGAGCAGGCCAAGAGCAGGAGAAGAAAGACCCCCGTCAAAGGTGGTCATCAACTAGACCAACTGCTGACTCTACCAATTGTGTTTTGGTTGCCTCGTGGAGGACAGGATCAACCTCCCCACCCAAAATTGTTTTGGATTTTAATATCGATGGCACCACACACATACCCCAAGAGAGTATAAAAAAGTTTATTACTCACATAATGAGATTTTCTGGAAAGAGCAGGGCAGATATCCAAGCTGTTCTAGACTGGCTTAAGCAAAGAGAGTGGCTCTGATTTTTATTGTCGCTATGGGGTGGGGCCAAAATTCCCAGGGTTTGTTTGGTTTGAACTCCTTCCCTCCCCTGACCGTGCTGCGGGAGAGAGTGCTGGGGCCTTCTTATTGGTTGCCCAGATGTAGGGCAAGAACAGAAGGAGGAGAAGAGGGGCTTGAAAGTATCAGAGGTCAAACATCAAAAGTGGAGTCAGATTCTTTTTTTATAGGGGAAGTCCTTAAATAAGTTTTTTTTTTTTTTTTCCTGAGGAATATTCGCCCTGAGCTAACACCCATTGCCAGTCTTCCTCTTTTTGTATGTGGGTCGCTGCCACAGCATGGCCACTGACAGATGACTGGTGTAGGTCCATGCCTGGGGACTGAACTGGGCCACCAAAGTGGAGCACACTGAACTTAACCATAGGCCACCAGGGCTGGCCCCCAAGGAGTCAGATTCTTTATTACCCTTTTGCTCCAGGAAGACTAACCTGGCAGTGATGAAGGAAGAGACAGCAAACTATTTTAGTAGTTAAAGTAAGATGGTCCTTTCTCTTGGTTTTTAACTCAACAAATTAAAAAGAAAAAGCTTCCCTGCTCAAGTCTAAAGATGCTGCCACCACTTAGCAGGCCACTTGGCTTTGCCCTTTGAGCGAGTGAATGGAGGAGACTGGCTGCATCTAACCAGATGCATCCCATATCTACCCTTCTTTCCTCTTCTATCCATTGATAGATGTTCTAATGAAAAATGAATTCACCAGAGAGATTGCTCGAGTAAATGTGCAATCTTAATAATTTAATACTGGCTAATCAACTTAAATGTTGGATGATATTACATTTCAATAGTCCTTAGACTAAATTGATCACATATAGGTAGAGTAGTTTTAAATTAGCTTTACACTACATACTGCAGAGACATTTTATATTACTGAAGGAGGTGCTTTTTATTTAACAAGTGACATATTTCATAATTCCTTATGTCATGTTAATATGCTCCAGTACCATTCTAAGTACTTGATAAATATTAAGTCATTGTGTCCTCTTAATGGGATATAAGGGGACAGTGTGGTAGGGACTGTTTCATAGATGAGGGAGCCGAGGCTCATTGGAGGTTAAATGACCTACCCAACTTCACACAACCAGGAAGTGGTGGAGCTGGGATTTGAACTCAGGATCTTAGAATTTGAATCTGGCTCCAGAGTTCACAGGTTAACCACTGTGCTATATTGCCTCTCACATCTACCATGATAACCACAATGCTATAGGTTCTTAGACAAATTAAGAATGTATCTATAAACAGGTTTCTCTTTAACAAGTATGGTGTATGGGATTATGGAATAAGTGATCCAAATAATTTCGCTTTTAAAGTCTTTAGTTTTTCATTTTTTGATGTTAAACTATAAACAGAAAATCGCTACATTTCAATGGTATTTAATATATCTGAAGAAACAGTAATAAAATAATATAAGGCCCTGAATAAGATGTTGTGTATGGCAAATAGCACCACAAGAATTCCATTTGCAAAGCTAAAATGAAAAAAAAAATCACAATAGCTTAAAAAAGAAACACTTTCTTTAAGAGTGGTCTTGCTGTTTTACTTTCAATATCTAGATGGGTTCATAGATTTCCTCTGTGACTTTAAATGATTAGTTTTATGCTATTGGCTGCATCCATTTTTGGTAAATGTTTTCCACAAAGGGAAACTTAGTTTTGAACATCGGTGTAGTAAGACCAGCATAGATGAATCAGACATTTAAAGCCTTCCTTTGAATGTCTTGACCTTACTTATCTGATCTGCGGTCTGTGTCTCTCATTTGAATAAGATGGCTGTGGCCTTCCCCCTGTTAGGGTTTAGAATAATTTGTCACATCTCTCCAGCTTAATCTTGGCTGAACACTTGCCCTGTGGGTGGAGAAGCTGAGAGCAAGCACTCCTGCCCTCTTTGTATGTCTGCCGGGGTGTTAATTGCAGTGTCCTTACCAAGGCCCAGCTTTAGGATTCCTCTGCTACCCATATAAACTGTCCCTGAGATGCTGCAATCAATATATTTTTCAAATAACCTGCATCTTCGTGTACAAACTAGCTTCTTGTTATTTTAACTGACTTTATTTGTCATATCAGCATAATCACCACCCAGTCCAAAGAAACAACTTTTTTGACTAACTTGACCTTTGGAATAACATACAAAATGCATTCTTAGATTGACTTCACTTTTCTTGCCCTCTACTTGACTGTTTTGCTTGTGCAGGTTGCCATAGTGTTAGTCTGAGGGTCTTTGGTAAAAGATGTAGCAATATAAATAAAACCCAAAAACCGTTAAGTCTGATTTTTCTGTGTGTCTCACCTGCCCCTTGTTTGGAGGTAAGCTGTTTAGGCGTTGGGAAGATCTGACTCAATTCTATGGCTCTGTGTTACAAAAAAATGGCATTTAAATAAACACAATCAGCAATGTTGATGTTTGGGATATCTGACGATTTGTTACTGTCCTTTGTTTTGCCTGAGAAACTCAATATGCAGCCAACAATTTGCCAACAGAACTGAGTGCAGAGAGTCGATGGTACTTGACTAGATGGGACTAGTCTTGGCTAATCTTCAAGTTGAGTTGAGTCCCAAGCCGGACTGAGTCTTGACCCAGGAGGATTTTCCTACTGACGATGGCTTCTGGAGTCCCTAACTGTCGCCAAAGACTCTGGCAGTACCATAGTCTCCAGTGGAGACCAAGCGCATTAATCTGCATTGGGTTCAACTGGGAGTGGTGGGAAACTCAGTCAGGTAAATTTCTCTCAGATGTTCATAGATTTGAAGTCCAGAAGTGGTATGCCAGCCTTGCCCTACGAAATCCTCAGGAACTCAGGAGGCTTCTAGCTCATTGCTCCCCCATCCCTGGTAGGCTGCCGAAATCCTTTTGGTCTAAATTGGCTTGAGTCTGGGATCCCTTTAGGATGAGCCCTTGGGAGTCTTCATTCAGTAGCAAGGGGACAAGTTTTGAGAAAATAGCATACTTGCCAGGATGCTTTTTTTTTGGTCAATGGTGGGGAAAAGCTCAGCCTCTCTATATTTTTAATTTTGTTTCTGACTATTATTTATGTAGTTTGCTTATTGAAAAGCAGAGTTTGTATTAATTACAAATATGGTGAAAGCCCTAAGTTTTCTTTGGGGGCAATGTGTCTTTCTTTCCCCTGTAGCTAAAATGAATCATCTAACTGTGGTGTTTAAATTAGTGAGGTTTTCAGTTCAGGAAATATTTACTCAACACTTTCTTAGGGCCAAGGACTATGCCAGAGGACATGTGGAATAAAAGATGAACAAGATAGAGTTGATACATTCTCATAGTGGAAATTAGGCAAGCATACAGATAACTATTATACAAAGCAAAATGTGAGTATAAAAGGTACACAGTCTTGTGCAAAACCAAAGGAGAGATTACTTTTACTGGATGGCTCAGAGAAGGCTTCGTGGAGTCAATGTCCTTGGATCTGGGCTCTAGAGGACTAGAGACAACTGTTGGTTGCCTATCTAACAGCCATCCCTATCCCCCCATTCTCCTCCTGGATAGTATAGCCGACCTCCCATTTTGGAGGCTGAAATGCTAGATGCTTTTATTTCTCAGCTTCTTTGAAGCTAGAAAATGGGCATAGATGATTCCTTTCAATTAGTGCCATAGCAGAGGTGTGCTAAGGGCATGCTGGTAAAGGTTTTCCTTCTCTTAAAAAAAGGTATATGAAAGGAACTCTACTCCTCTTCCCTTTTGACATAGGATATGATGCCTGGAGTAGTGGCAACTATCTTGTGACTATAAGGAAACAAGCCTGAAGACAATGACCAACATGCTGAAGATAGCAAAGTAGAATGATAGAAAGCACATGGCTCCTTCTATCTCAGAACTTCTTGCTATGTAAGGTAATAAATGTCAGTATTGTTTAAGGCACAGTTAGTTGAGTATTCTGTTATAGGAACCTCTAAGCATCCTGACAAAGTAGGATTTTTCCAGGAAATTTGGGGTTAAGGTGGGGATGGGTGAGGTGAAATGGTGTTGCAGAGAGAATATCCCAATCAATAGAAACAGTGTGAACAAAAGTGTGGAGTGGAAAACCTCAGGTTATATTAGGGAAAGAGAAAATGGTTTGGTTTGGTTGGAGCAGAGAAGAGATGATGGCAAGTAGTGGGAGGTAACTGGTAAGATAGTTTGGGACAAGACCATGGAAGACTTTGTAGTCATACTTAAGAGTTTAGAATTTATTCAATAGAAAATGCTGAGCAGTTGAAGGTTTTTTATTTGGGAGAACTATAATCAAAACTATGCTTTCTTTTTTGAAGAATATCGTCTTTTTTATATATGTATATATACTTTCTCATGGTTACACGTTTCTCCTTTTGAATTTCTCTATCCTGTCATCAAGAACATACAATTTACAAAGTCAAAAAGAGCGGCAGACTATTATGCATTTTATGCTACTACTGCTTAAACTTTATGTAACTGCCTAGCGAGTCTAGTTACATAAGGAAGTTTCCCTCTGATTAACTGACTCTCGCTTAAGCATCTCTAGAATGAAAAGATTTGATATTATGGACACTTTGCAGATGAGAAGAACCCTTATCAGAGATGCTTGTTCTATTTTGCTATGTGATTATTTTGTAGTTTTACCAAGCGTTGAAGCAATTTTTTGTTCTTTTTAAAAGTTTTTTCTTTACAAAATAATAAATTCTTTGTTGTTAAACATTTGGGAAATTCAAAAAGTTAGAACAAGAATTAATCAGCATAGTTCCCTTATCCTCAGACCACTGTTGTCCTTTAAGGTTTTTTTCCTAAAACTAATTTATTCTTAAAGGATTGAAGATGATGCATTGAAATACTTAAATTTAAGTGAAAATATGTAATTGGCACATGCAAATGAGCCAGATAAATCTGATTTCATGACTTGACAGTAAAACATTTTATCATAGCTCTAAATTATCATTTAAATAATGTGTTCTGGCTGTAAGCATATTATTCATTAGGAGTTTTAGTTTATTTCAGAAAGTGGAGGCAGGCTGTGTCAGTACGCAGAGCCGTTGTCCTTCCCCTGTGAAAACTGAGCATACTCTCAATTTTGTTTTGCACTTCCAGAAAGACAGTCACGATCCAGTGGAAGTTACTCTTGTTTTGAACAAATCTTTTCGCAATTTTGCTGGAAGATTTACAGCATAATTCTGTTATCATGAATTCTGAAAATACTACTTATAGGGGACAAAGTATTTGATAAACGAGGGCAAAATAATAACTTGGCCCATTTAAATAATATTATGCCAGACAAAACTAGCTGTTGCTGTTACAGTTGTCATCAAGAATTATTCTTTTTTTCTGTAACTTGTGATTTGTTTATTCCGTGTTGTTGGGACTATTTTAACGAACCTCCAATCGCATGGGGAATTTCTAGAAAAAAATTTAGTCACATTAAAAGTCTCTTATACCCATTATACTGAATTGATTCAAATATAAAAATCATTTTTGGCTTAACTTTAATCATCAGTTCTGAACATTTTAACACCCGCCTCTCCTTTATAAGCACAGTGTTGCCGTATTTCACGTCAGTGCGAGAAGGACGGCAGTGTGCACGGACGTGATCTAGAGTGCTTGTCCAAGTGCAGCTTCCGATTCAGAGGTCTGGGTGGAGCCTGAGACTCTGCATTTCCATCAGCCTCAGTGCTGATGCTGCTGGTCCCCTGATGACACTTTGAGTAACACGGTTTTAAAGAAACAGAAAAAAAAATTGCTCCTGTTACCAAACTAGAAAATGTATTCTGAAAACTGTCTGATAGATCAGTTTAATCACATGTAAATTGGTCGTGAAATGCTGTGGTCAGGAAAGGCCATCCTTCACTATTAAACTATTCACAACTGCAAAAATGTATGAGATTTTAGATCAGTTACATTTTCTAACTGGTTTTTATTCTGTGCACTTAATAACTCCACAGCCCTGTCATTCTCACACAAGTTTAAATGACAGTCTAGGCGGCAGACATCAAACGCCACAGAGAAGTTCGTATTTTGGAGTTGTGTTTGTAAGGAAACTTGGAATGAGTCTTTTCCAAGTCTTTAAACATATTTAAATTCAGTGGTTTTCATTAATTACTCTTCACAAGTAATTAATGCTCTGTCTGGAATTTCACAGAGCTCGTGTCTTTCAAATGCTGCATTTGTGTTTGAAACCATTTTCCGGACATTCAGGCTAGTTACTGGCCTTTCATAAACACTCCTGAAGCGGGAAAGGGCGAAATTTAAGCAGAACTAATCCTGTAGCTAATAACACATGAGATATTCATGATATAGAGGTTGTGGTTTTGGTTTTTTTTAATGTTGAACTCTGGGCATTTAACAGAAAACTTCTATTTCTGCAAAGCAAGTTTTTTTTCCACTGCTTGTGTAAAATCATCTTATACAAGTAAAGGTTAAGAGAAGTAAATATTTATCTCACTGGTTACAAACAGAGCATTTTAACAAGTTAGGAGCAGACTCCTCTGGCCCATTGTGCTGGCTCCGGAGGGTGGTCCGGGGCCCCAGGCGTGGGTGCAGGCCTGATCCCACCGGACTCATTTCCCTGTGTGCCAACTGCCAACCGGAACTGCGCCCTGGAGGCAGGTCCTGAGGGACAGAGCCAGATGCAAATTAGTTTTTTGGGGAACTGGCAGTTTTTTCTGTGTTACCTGTGGATGTCAGCAGACTACTCATTAAATCTATTTCTGTCAAAGTTTATTTGTCATATTTCATGTTCGTTAAAGATCGTGTCTGAGGTCAGCGATGAGCCCCACAAATCTTAACTGGAAGTGATCCCTTTATTACAAGCTACAAGAATGCCAGACTCTGATAAGTCGGTTATGGGCCTAAAGAGATTTTTATTTCACTTGAAATTCTTAGATTTTCGTTGTATCCTCATTGGCATGTAAATATCAGTTTCTATGGTAGGAAAATTCCCTAATTACAAAATAAGAGTAAATTAGAAATAAGCTTCCAAGAAAGAAAGAACAGAAATGCAGTTATACAACGAGCTGCCCAACTTAAATAGAGATATGAGGACCTAAGATGTGTGGTGTCAGATACACAACTGACTGCTCATTAAATAACAGAACATTTAATAATAATTTAGTACACAGCATTTTTACCTCCGGCTCTCTACCTTCTTTCCTTCTCCCATTCTCCCCACATCAAACTGATTTAACCTAAGTTGAACATTCATTTAATGAGCGTCCACTCTGTGCCAGGCGTTATCCAAAAAGTACCTCCCTGAAGCTAGCTTTCATTGTGGCCTCTGCTCTGACTAGAGCCCTCATCTCACCCTCCCCTTTACACTCGATGACTTTGGATCATGGGAGGTCCCGAGCAAGCTTTTGGTGACCAGTGCTATATAGACATGAAGGGATGGTCTTGATGTGGATCAAGGTTGCCCCAGGGCGAGAAGCCCAAGGCATTCCTGGCCTACATGCCGATCTATACGACATGATTCATATCCAAAGTTAGACAACCACACAATAACCAGACCCCACCTGCACTGATACCATTTTAATGGTTTTTTACATCAAGTTTCCTTTGTCTAGTAAAAATAAGTCATGTACCCATGCCTTATAAATTTAGCCGTAACCCTCAACACATTACAGCTCTTCACTGCCCACGGGTCCTGTCCCCATGCTATTCTCTGAATAAAAGAGCACTACTACCAGACCTTGAGAGTCCAAGAAATCTTTCAACTCCTCGGCTTGCCGAGCCCGCATCAGTGTCAGCCGGAGAACTTGGTCACCTACATCCATTAAGATGTTGACCCTGACTACGGTTCATAGCAAGTATTGTCAGAACACCAAAGGGTACCTGGAACGGGGCCACATGCCTGACTGCACCTGCGCAGCTGGCTAAGATGAAGAACATTTTTTATTGGTTAAAAATAGTTTCCTTTATAAAATTGCCTTGGGATAAAAGTACAAAACTTGAAAAATTAATTAAAATGCATAAAACAGCAGTGATAATTAAGATAGCATCAAAACTTCCTAGACTAAGAGAAAAGCAAAAAGTGAGAAAAATAGAGTAAGAGAAAATATTGAAATTGTGAGTATGTTTTGTCACAGGTTTTCACTTCTTTTATTAAGAAGATAGGGGATTTTGCCTTAGTTGTATTTTAACATCCGTTTACCTTTCAGTATTTATGGTGTTGATCAAGAAACCAAGATTGCATTCAGCATGATACTGACCTGTTCTCTGTCCACTGATTTCCTGAGCTTTTACTACCGCTAATAACAGCCCATATTCCTGGTTCCTTGTCAGGCAACCATAAGGCATTTAGAGGTGCAACCCAGTAGATACGGTGCAAAACCAAAGTGAAAGCTTGGGACTCTTAGTAGCCACATTTTGACAAGAGGTAATAGACTCCAAAGGTTTAAGGGACATACCACCTTGGCAGGAGTGAGTAAGAGAACCTTCACTGATCTGATGTCAGAACTGCGACAGGCTTCAGCCACTGCAGCTCTTTCTGGGAAGCTGTTCGCTTCTCTTTCTGCTTCTTTTCTGAACATCTGATTTAGCCACATTTGGTGTGGCATGGTACCTGCTAAAGAAATTCCAAATAAATTCCAGAGGAATCTGCTTGATGGTGTATGCTTTTATGTGCGTTTGTACATGTGTGCAAGGGCGCCTGCACATGTGTGCATGTAAGCTCGCGTGTGTGCGTATTTTCACCGCTAACTCTCCTCCTCTGAACACAGACAGCGCCAGGACGGTGAGATTTCCTGCCTGGCTAGTCCCTCCTGTGCTTCTAGACTCAAGCCGCGCTTTGCTGTATCCTGGATCACTCTTTCAGGAGTCACTTTAGAAGAACTGGCAAATTATTGGACTAACTTATTTATTTATTTTTAAGATTTTATTTTTTCCTTTTTCTCCCCAAAGCCCCCCGTACATAGTTGTATATTCTTCGTGGTGGGTCCTTCTAGTTGTGGCATGTGGGACGCTGCCTCAGCGTGGTTTGATGAGCAGTGCCATATCCGCGCCCAGGATTCGAACCAACGAAACACTGGGCCGCCTGCAGTGGAGCGCGCGAACTTAACCACTTGGCCACGGGGCCAGCCCCAAATTTATTTTAACTGGTATTTTCTCATGAAAGCAAATAAGAATGAACCTTTCCATTTTCTTTGGCTGTCAGTTGCAGTTTGAGGTGGAATGGAGTAACACAAATTAGCTTAATGGAAAAACAATGTCTGTATCTTTTAAAGCAGCTTTTCATTTAGAAGATGCCAAGTACAAACTTTAGTATATATATTTATTTTTTGCAAATGAATAAGATGCTTACACACAAGACAGCAGGAGACTTACAACATTTGTGAATTCCTCTATATCCTTGATATATTGTTACCGTTAACTTATAATCAAGGAGGAAAACATCTGGCAGGCTGGCAAATAGTTCTTTCTGAAGCCTAGTTTTATGTAGAGTGAAACTTTTTATGAGTATTTTTATGTTCCAGTGTTTCTGCAAAATAATAAAATTAATACAAATTGAATACAGCAGTTTTTTTCTAGGAAGAACATTTGTTGTGCATTTTTGTGTTACTACTTAACATTGGCATAATTGTACCTCCTGGGGATAAAGTGTTAACAGTAATGGTAAATGTCTACTTTTAGTAAAAGGAGTTCATTTACATTACACAAAAATCCTCATTTGGATGAAGCTTTTACATAAGGTAGTAGTTTCTGAATAATTTGGTTTCTTCGCTGGTGTTTAAGTGGCTCTCCATTTTATAATCCCCTAAGACTTTCAAAAGTGAGTTGAACTCACTGACACTTATTGTTTATAATATATATCATTAAGAAAAAATACACATTTCAGGAAAACACAACTGAGCTAGCCTGTTCTAGGAGGCTCAAACATTTAAATAGAATATATTTTGGAAAAAAATATTGTTTTTTCCTAGCTGAAAGCTATAGCAATTTACACCACTTATACGTTTTAAAAATTCTTTTTTTCAATGTTCAAAAATACAAATAAACATTCTTCCTTTAAGAAATCAATATTTAAAAATGACCACTGTGTATCATTCTTCGCTATATTTAGAGTATATTTGTTTTCCTTTTTCTAAAAATTAATCTAGCATATATTTCCTTTTAAAATAACTGTTAAAGAAAATTGCCAAAGTTAAACTAGTTAGTCAGATAAACAATGTACTAAGTACCTGTGAAGTCAGCGAGAAGCTTATTTATTTTACTTGTTCACCACTGCTTATTCTTAATACTTATTCATCTAATATGTCATTTTCCCAGACCATCATAACATTTTCCTATGTGGAAGAGGTTAAAAGTATCTATCATAATTCCAAAGATGAAAGAAACTTCCAAATAATGCATGGTTACATTTTTACCTTGAGGAGGCAAATGAATATTTGCTTAAATGTTCTGTTTGAAGCTTTCATGAATTGCATGGAAACCATTTGATCCTCTTCAAAGAAAATGCATTTTCTTGTCAAATACATGCAATTAACAAAGCAGGAGACATAATGTTTCCATATCTCCCACCTACTAGCTCATATGGACAGATTCTCTTACATTTATTTTCATTTCAATGACAAAACAGCATGCATTTCAGTGTGAAGTTTGGAATGGGATAAGAGCTCAGAAACTGTGTACTACTGTAACTACTGTAACATTCCATTAATATTTTGAGATAGGACTTTGTGCAGTATCGCAAAGTCTTGGATTGTGTGAACAGGAACCCGAATTTAGAGGAGTCACTGAGTAGACTGATTAAGAACTGGGGCTATGTAATCTAACAGGACCAGGTTCAAATCTTGGTCTCTCTCATTTCCCATTTGGATGAACTTAGGCAAGTAGCTTCTGCAAGTCCCAATTTTCCTATTTAGAAAGTAGATCTTACAGTAGTAATTACCTCAAAGGGTCATGACAGTTAAATGAAATAGTTCATGTAAAATGCTTGGCACACAGAAGTGGACAATAAATGACACTGTTGTTGTATCAGTGTCTTCCCTTATCAACCCTAATATGCTCATATCGTATGATTATATCATATCATATCATATGCTCATATGCTGATGATTTAGATCATATACTTACATTTCATCTATTTAGAAAATTATGCAACTTTTTCAGTTATAGTAATTAAATATTTAAAAGAGTATTAATACCTTTACTTTATGTAATACATTTATTAAATCATATTTTAAAAAATTGTGTTCAGCTTACCTTATTCCTACATAGTATAATAAGGAGGTAGGACTATATCATGATCCTCATTTTTCAGTTGGGAAACCAAAGCAAAGAAAAATGAAGTGAATTGACCAGCGTTACACAATCTACAGCAAAATAGGAAGTTAAGTATTTGTATTAAAATACCAAAGATTTAGAACTTTCATTTGAATAAGAGAAAGCAGATTTATATCATGAAGCAGTTGTATGTAATTGGTTCTATAAAGAAGACATTTCACCCGCTGATTTGGAGAGCACAGAGTTTTCCTTTGCAGTTGATTTTTATGCTAATAATAGTAGAAAAGTTTTTCATACACCTTAACTGAATTCAAATTTATCTCTAGAATGCTGGAAGAAAAAAACTTACTTTTGAGTAATGGAAAAGTCTTTCAAAATATCATGGCAAAGGAAAAAAATATTTTTTCATGACACAATGCCAAGTTAATGCTTAGCTTCGCTTCAACACATATTTGGTGTTTCTTGAGGGCTTTACTGCTGTAGTTGTCAAGCATTTTCTTATACATATATCACACCCTTTCTATTTTGTATAAAATTCTATTCCCTGGCCATATATAATTGCTAGTTTGTTTTTCACAATTTTGTTACATACAGTTTCTCACTTTTGATTTCACCAAGATACACATTTGCTATTTCATTGAAATATCTCCTGCCAGACAAAGCTTTTTTGCTGTTAGTATCTGACAGATCAGAACAATCAATATGGTGGCCTAATTCCTTTGTCTATTATTCAAAGATCTTTTCACCTGATTAACCATCCTACATCCACAGACCTATGAGAAGGATTTCTCTAATTTTATTCCATCTTCATCTGAGACAGAGAGGTGAATGTCTGCTGATCTTGTCAAATCATTATTAAGAGTTTAGTGATTTTTTCATAAGAGAATCATTAATCTAGCCAACTTGATTAGTCCATGTATGGCATAGCTCTACGTTTCCTATATTCACATGTGCCATTTCAGACTTCCAAGATATAGAAAGATCTCACAAAAGGATAACGTTTACAATATTTAAACAGTGTAATATCCATTAAATAAGCAATATACTCTTCTTGGTTCACCAAGCAGGCACTTCTTTGCCCTGTCTGAGTCCCCGGTGAACTGCAACTCATTAAACCCAGATACCTTTGGACACAGACCTCCTCTCTAACAAGGAAAGGGGTCACCACAAGGAGAAATGCAAAGCTGCCAGTTGGATTCACCTCTCACCAGATACCTACTTTAATGAGCATGTTCCTGCTTCTCAGGGCAATCCTCATGCTCTCGCTTTGCTCTCAGCAAGAACACCTGGGAGTCTTCAGCCTTGCCATGTGTGGAAAACAGCCCAAAAATAGGCCTGCGA